TATATATATATATATATATATATATATATATATATATATATATATATATATATATATATATATATATATATATATATGGATTGACTCCAGTGAGATGACACCTTACGGTGAGATGACATGCTTCGGTCAGATGACACAAAGCTCACCACATCACACTACAAAGCTCACCAAACACAACAACAAAGCTCACCAAAGTTTAAGGCAAAGCTCACCATATTTTTTCAATACTTTGAATATTTTTCCAAAAAAAAATCAAAGGAAAGGGTGTTGACTGGACTTTGACTGTTGACCGCCAGCATTTACCGCCGCCTGCCACCGCCGGTCGTCGAAATCCGGTTTCTGGAATCCGGTCACCGCCACCGCCGGTCGTCGTCCGCCGCCATCGGTCGCCGGTCGCCGGTCTCCGTCGCCGGTCGCCGAAAACCGGTCGCCGTTGTCGGACTCCGGCCGCCGCCGTCGGGCTCCGGCCGCGACTACTGCTCCGCCGCCCTTGACCGGTGGTTGACCGGTGTTGTTATTTTATTTTTAATTAATTTTTTAATTTTTTAAATTTAAAAAAAAGTGAGTTTTGGGGTTCAAAGTGGTGAGCTTTGCTTTATTTCCAGGTGAGCTTTGCATTGTCCATTGGTGAGCTTTGCTTTATTAGCTTTTTTTAAAAAAAAGTGGTGAGCTTTGCATTGTTCCTTGGTGAGCTTTCCATTTACAGTTGGTGAGCTTTCCATTTACAGTTGGTGAGCTTTACACTTTGACCGCCCATGACTAATGTCCACCACCGATGACTCCCACTGTTGTCGTGGACCGGTGGTTGAGCGGTGGTTGAGTGGTGGCTGAGTGGTGGTGTTATTTTTTTAACTTTTTTTATTTAAAAAAAGTGGTGAGCTTTGCATTGGTAGTTGGTGAGCTTTGCATTGGCAGTTGGTGAGCTTTTCATTTGGCAGTGTTGTGTGTTGTGTCATCTCATTGAAGCATGTCATCTTACCATAAGGTATCATCTCACTCGAGTCAATCCCATATATATATATATATATATATATATATATATATATATATCCGAATATATATATATTACTGTTAATTATATTTGACAAGCTTAATTATCACATAATTAAAATGTCCAAATATAAATATTTATTTATATATATACGTTTGTGTATTTAATCATATTGTCATACAATATAATATACACGATATATAAATAAAGTGCAACTTTACTCTACTTAAATATTCTACACTTCCATATGTTCTATGTGTGTGATCCTATTCTAGGCATCTATAAAATTGGCCATAGTATAGAATACTACAAGTAATAAGCGGTATCTAGCAACACATTATCACCCCCAAATTATAGATTAAAGCTCTTAGAACAATTTCTTCAATGACACATCCTATTTGTATAACTCTTATCCCTTTATCACTAATATCTTGATTTAACACAAGGTATGGGGTGTGTCACCTTGTCAGAGTTAAATCGGTGGTTTACTGATTCCTTGCATCTCCTTTTCAGAGGAAGAAGTCACCCTACTGGCCTCAAGATTCTCTAAGGCCTTAGTAGGGTCTTTCTTCTTTGGGAGACCAAGCCTGGAATTTGTTAGACAGAGTCGAAAGAATTGGTTTCACAACCTTTTCTGTCACCCTTATTGACTCCACCCATGTCCTTATCAATTTCTCCTCACAAGATGAATACCATAGATGTTTTAAAAGAAGGGAATGGAACCTGGGGTCTTTTAAAATGCTGGTTGCAAAATGGACTCCTACCTTTGATCCCAAAGTAGAATCCCCCATTATGCCAATCTGGATTGGCAGTAAAAACCTCCCCATTCACCTTCACTCACAGGACTCCCTACACAGAATTGGGCAAATTTTTGGAGAACCTATCAAACTAGACACCACTACTAAAAGCTTTGGAAGACCATCCCTGGCCAGAATTTGTGTTGAAGTTGATATCTCTCAACCACAAATCTCAAAATTTTACATACAAAATGGTAACCAACGGCTCTTCCTTGAAGCCATCTATGAAGACCTACCTTCATTCTGCCACACCTGCAAGGGCATATCCAGACACAGTGGAGAATGCTCCTCTCTTAAAAACAAGCAAACTCTTCTCCCAAACCCCTTGCCGGAACCTTAGAAACTTGGCCGGAATATTCCTAAACTCCCTAAGCATAACACAGTCACTATCTTCTAGAAGAAAGCACCCAAAAACACCCAAACACCTTAGCCTGCCACTAACCCAACTACTGCACCCACAATCTTTCAAACAAATGATATACCCACAACAAGTAAAGTCCAACACACCCATACCCCACCAAAGCCACCCATCCCTTCAGTAATAAACTCAACCCCTGAACCTCTTAACCAGTCCCCACCCCAAAATAATCCCAACCAGCAAAAACCCAACCTGTCAGAAACCAGTGAACCAGAGATTGGCCCCTCTCAAAACCCCCCTCCCCTTCAACCAATACACTTAACCTCAGCACCTTTCTTACTCCCAGCCCCACCTCCTCTGAACCCACCCTCATCAAAACCCCCACCAAACCCATTAACCCTCCCTTTTCATCCTCAGACACAGAACTCTTAGAAGCTTTAATGAAGGACATCTCCAACATATACACCACAACAGTGAAAAATAAACTGAGCCCTTCCAAAGATGACTCCCAGATACAAGACCCTCAATCCAAATACACAGTTAACTACTTGAGTGACACAGAAACTCCCTAGAACTCTCAAGAACACACTGAACCCCCAACCCACCATCAGGAAGAACCTACTCTCAGACAAACCACTGATGGCTTCACCACTGTTACAACAAGGAAATCAAAAAGGCTTATTGAGAAATCAATAACAAACAGTTCCTCCCAACCCAGTCATCAATGAATTGCCTCTATTGGAACCTCTGTGTGATTATTTCCAATAAAGAAAGACTATCCCTTCTAGTTACAAAACACAAAGTTAACATTCTTACCATCATAGAACCCAAGGCCTCCCCAGACAAGATAACCAATTTTCAGCTAGAACTTGGATTCTCCAACTCCATTACTAGCTCCAGCAATAGAATCTGAATCATGTGGCAAAGACTATTCTCTGGCAACACGCTGCTACAGTAGCCGTCACCATAGCCATCGACCATGAGCGCTCATCTGTTGGTGTCTCTCCTTTTTGAGTGTAGATTCTGCTTCCCCATCCTTGGGCGAACATTTCTACCGGTGCTTTTGTCCTCTCGTGCTCTAGGGTGAGAACGGTGGTCAATTCCATTCTCGCTTACTGTTCAATTTCTTCTCCAATGTTTCTTGGCCACTCCCTCTGATTCCCCCTGCTGCTATGGGTTCCGGCAAAGCCCAAAGTGGTAAGAAGATTAAGAGGAAGGTTCCCAGAAGCCCTAAGAAGAACGGGGCTGAAGAAGATGCTCCGAAGGTTTCCAGCTTGGCTACCGACATAGCTATGCAAGCACTTGAGGAAGAGCGGGCCCAGACTGCTTCTTCCTCGTCTGCAACGTCCCCTCCTTTTTTTGAAGTTGTCCCAGAACGCGCTCCTCAGGTGGGGAAACCTACTGCGCAGAACACCCCCCAGGTTCTTGACAATATGCCTGAACCAGAGAAGGCTGCTGCCAAACCCGTTACCTTTGCTGACCTCTTCAAAGGTAATAGGGACCCTGACCAAGGTATGACTTTGAAGCATTATGATGTTGGTGAAGGCGTTCTCCATATCCCAGATTCTGTCATCAAGCCTGTTGAAGAACTTTGGGGTTTTTGCCTAGTGGGGTGCTTCACTGGACGTTTCCCTGGTCTCAAGGCAGTTGACGCTATTGTAAAGAGTTGGAATGTGCCTTGTAAAATTATTCCCCACTGCAAGGGTTGGGTCATCCTAGAGTTTGAAACTGACAGTGATAGAATGGCAGTTCTGGGCAGGGAGAGGGATAAAGCTTATGGAAAGGAGTTTAGGCTAAAAATCCCATCTCATG